GGAGGCCTTCCCAGCTGGGAGTAAAGCCGCGTGTCAGCACGTCCGTGCTCTGGCAGGCTGCGCGCTCGCTTCCAGCTCCCGCGCCCTGGCGCACCAAGAGGGGCGATCAGTGATCGAAGGGGTCGTCTTTCTGGAACGTGAGTGCGGTGACGGAAGGGCTCCCGCGCGCAGTTCGTGTCGAGCACAAATTGCCGCTCGGAGTTTTGTGATTGGTGCGCAAACCCGAACTGCCAGAACGCTGCAGCAGCTAATTTAGCAGCATTTCCCAGAAATCCCGGGTGGCTGGATGTCACCTGTTAGGCACAGCCTTGACGTTTGTGCTCTCAGCATCGCTGCAGAATTGTGACTTTCATAACAAAGCCTTTCTGCTGATCTCCTGCTCTGGTGAGAAACAAGGTCTCCGCTGCTCTGGGAGAAAGTGAAGAGTTCTCCTAGGGCTTTTGGTCGTAATGAGAAATGTGAAACTCCACCGGAGGAGCCGTGAAGCAGCACAGAGCGCGTCCTCCCCGGTTCCGTCTCCAGTGACCTTCCTCTCCTTTAGCAAGGAAGAGAGGATCACAGGGAAAGACCAAATTAGGCTTGGATTTGAAGTCCGCCGTTGTGCCTGTTCCCTCGAAAGAGGCATGCGTTCATATGAAAACGCCTGGCTGCTTCTCTCATTTCTGTCATTAACTCGCTGTGTGAGCAAGTTAATCTCTTTGGCCACGTATGTAAAATGGAGATAACGCTGCTCATCTGTCCCTCTGGAGCTGTGTGTGAAATAGCTGTAAAACCCTTTGAAGTGGTCAGATGAAAGATATCACTCGATCTAGCAGAGTGAAATGCTACGCTGTCGATGCGATGCGTGCTTACTGATCCACCGGACTCGTTCAGTCCCCTTTAAATCATTTTGAATCTGCAGCTTGCTGCTCTATGGATTGGTGTGTTGCCTCATCTAAGACGAGCAAGAAAAGGAGATGGGAACAACAGCCAGAACTGTGGTGCTAAAAGTCATCTTCAAGTGGGTTAGCTTATTTCACAGTAAAAATTCTAGGTCTTGCAGAAAAGTCAAGAGATTAGAGGCCGGAAGAAAAACAGAAAGTGTATGTCTGCTTTTAAAAAAAAAAAAGAAAAAAGAAAAAAGAGGAAAAAAGGGAGCTGAGTAGAGTACACGAGGAGGAGAGCTGTTTGTTTCCTAGCTGTCGCTGGTACCGCGGAGGGCTGGGCTCAGGCTGCCGCGCTCGGATGCGGAAGTGATAGATGGCAGAACAGCAGGGACACTCGGGTTTTGCTCCAGGATTTGCCACTGACTCAAGTTGAAGAGCTTGAACAAATAGCCCAGACCTCGATACCGAAGGGCGATCTTTGCATGTGCAGGGCTGTTAGATAGCATGGCAGTCAGTCCCAGGCTGTGGTGACGGCCCGCTGGGCAGGGAATAGCCACCGGGCTGTAACTGGATTGTTAGACACCATGGCGCGCTCTCATGTACCTGGGCTGGACTCCTTAATAAAAAAGATATTCAAAGGTGGTGAAGCCATAGGCCATTTTATTAGGATCTATTTTTAGGCATCTTTTAGAGCGCAAATAGTCCTCGTTTCCATCTGTAGTTAATTGCCCGGGCATATTTGTGGTTGCAGAACTGAACCTGGCAGAAGCTTGGCTTTCAGAGCTGTGTTTTCCCCATGGGATTACACGGAGCTATTGTCTCCCACTTGCCTGGATAACTCAGCATGACTCTTTTGGCTTTAAGGAAGAGATCCTGATTTGTACAAACTGAGGGTCTCTTTCTGGGGGATTCATACTGTTATTTGAAGCAGTTTTTCCTACGTAAAAAGCCTTTCAGATCCACAGAGGCACAGAAGTTCCTCCTACTCTGTTGTCCTTTGAGTGGCTTTCTGCCAGATTTCGGCCTCCTGCCAGCAAACTAAGAACCAGGTATGTTTTATCGCGGAAAGTCGTGCAAAGCACAGCCTTAACAGCACCGTCACGCAGAGCAAGCAGCTGTACCTCGAAACTGGCTCTCCGAGTTACAAGTGCCTGTCCTTCAGCTTGATATACCGTACATCTCTAGCTAAGCTCTAGCTTCAGGGTATTTCAAAGGAAGTCAACAGTATAGCAATAAATAGAATAAACAGCTTCCGTCAGGAGGAGTTAGTCTCTCTGCGTAGACTCGGTGCGGCTCTTCACTGCACAGCTGCTGCCACCAGCAGCCCGGGACACCTGGGCCGCTCAGCTTCCCGGCCCCCGGCAGGAAACTCCCTGGGAAATAGCACGTTTATGTTTTCGGAAAGTGCTCTCGCTACATCACGCTGCAGAAAGCTGTGAGGTGAGGAAGTAGAGGAGCCGCGCAGCCGCAGGAGTGCAAGCGCTTTGCTTTGGGAGGCTGAGGCGAAGGACAGCGACGGTCCGTGGCGTGGTCTGGTGCCGCAGGACGTGCACGAGGGTGAAGGGCTAGCGGCGGGGTGGCCGGTTTGCTGTAATGCTACAAGTCAGAGTTAAGAACACAAGTCTGCAGCTGTTGTAGCTGCAGAGTAACCCTCGGGTTTAGCAGTGCGACAGAACATGCCTGGACTTGGAGAAAGCTGGAAGCGGTGCAAAGTGGTCAGGGTAGATGAGAGTGGTGCAACCAGGAATATCCGTGCCACTGAGAGTTTCATTCATTCTCAGAGAATAAATAGAAGAAAAACGGGTTAGATTTGTATGATCTTTTTTACACAGAGCTTGCGTGGCTGAAGAAGAGTGGAGAAAGGTGTATGCATTTGAGTCTTCTCTCGGAAATTTGATGTCATTTTTTTCATGGACCAGTACCCTGGTTTAGTAAGCTTTTCT